TGAAATATTATTGTTGACTTTTGTGTCACTGAGGTCTATTATTCATTCTGACTACCATTTATCTGTATATTAATAGTTATTCATTAGGTACTAGAACTTATTTTTTTAGATGTGCACCTTTTATTCGATACTAGTTCTCATTTGATAGACAGTATTACCTGTAAACCGATACTATTGTTTGTTAATTGCACTAATATTATTAATTTGTATTTAGATATTAGATATTTTAGGCCATAGGTGACAAAGGCTGCATCTGAAATCACCTACTACTCAGTAGGTACTGCATTTGAATTGAAGCGTACTACATTAGAAAAGTACATTCTATACAGTAAGAATGTCAGTAGTATGAATAGAACTCGGACATACTACACGCGCCAATTTGTCATAATCACATGATCTACCCAGGTCAGTTGCGTTGCTTCACTCCCAGTCATAAATTCTTGCATGGTGCATCGTTGGATAGCGTATCGATTATCTGATTACGCACTTCAGAATCTCGTCGGATGTAGTAGGTCATCCGGGTACTTCTCACATACTGTTTATCCAATACTATGAATCCAGACATACTACTCGACTGACATACTATTTTAGCGTACTATATAGTATGGAAGTAGGCGATTTCAGATACAGCTAATCTTAGTTCCTGGAGGCCCGCGGCTCTGCACAGTTTAGTTCCAGCCCTAATTAAAAACACCTGATCAAACTAATTTTGTGATTCAGGCTTTTTTGAAACCTACAGTTAAGTGTGTTTTTCCTAATGATGGGTTTCAGCTGGAAAGGCATCCGTTGCATAAAACATGTGCTGGATAAGTTGGCGGTTCATTCCGCTGTGGCGACCCCAGATTAATAAAGGGACTAGGCCGAAAAAAATATGAATGAAGGTTACGGTGTTGAAGCAGGGATAGAACTAAACTGTACTGGGCTGTGGCCCTCCAGCAACCGAGTTTGGAACCCCTGCATTAGACCTATTACCTATTTGATTAATATTAGTATGTATTATAGATATTACTTATTTAGTAGATTAATTAATTACTTATTTACGTATTTATAATTATTTATTTACTACAAGTACTAGAACTACCAATACATGTGTACTAGCACGTACTAAATAAGCACTAATTGCTAATCAGGAAAGACTATTATCTAAGAAGTTAGGGCCCCGATATACTTCAAACAAAATAAAAAAAGAACTGAAATTACATCATTTTGAACAAAATCCAGCCAAAACAAAGTTCTTTTTGCAGCAAACATTTTGGAGTTTGTTTTGGTCCTAAACATCTTAGCGCTACCATTGGTCTGTGATGAAAAAAATCACTTCAGTACCTAAAGAATGTGTACAAGTAGCTAATGAATATGTAATAGAAAAGGTACTATCTTAAAAAGTAAGTACTAGTAGTGTGAAAACAGACAGTAGTGTATTTAAAATATTAAACTTTAAAATGGCGGGCAGCATGGTTGCTCAGTGGTTAGCACTATCGCCTCACAGCTAGAAGGTTGCTGGTTAAAAACACGGATGGGTCAGTTGGCATTTCTGTGTGTTTGCATGTTGTCCTGTGCTCGCATGTATTTCCTCTGGCTGCTCTAGTTTCCCCAACCGTCCAAACACGTACGGTAAAGGTGAATTGGATTATTTAAAGTTGCTGTAGCGAATGAATGTCAGTGAGAGAGTGTATGTATGGGTTATGGCCGGAATGACATCCACTGCATAAAACATATGCTGGAACAGTTGGCGGTTCATTCCGCTGTGGTGATTGCTGATAAATAAGGCATTAAGCCAAAGGAAAATGAATGCTAAAAAGGCTTGCCATAGTGCTAAACTCACACAGAAGCTCTAGTCTGGAGTTTTAACCACAGCATCACGTATGAGCGTCTGACGAGGTTTTCGCTTAATTAAAGGGTAATATAGTTTGCATAGCAGTAAAGAGATGAAAACATCTTTGGCATTTTCATTGTGTGATTCCTTCTAGACTTCTTTCCAAATACACAATGGCTTTGTTGATCCTTAATCATGGAATGCAGCTGTTTTACTTCAGCGGATTTTAATAAATAAGAGGGAAGACTGGTCGCTATTGTTACTATGCTACTTCTACTAATAATAATATTAATATTAAACAATAAAATAATTATCTTATTATATTATTATGATAATGTCCAAAGGGTTGACGTCAGTCTAAGATTTTAAGTTTGGTCTCCTGCTGTTGTTTTTTGTTTAGTTTTTTTCTTCAGTAAGAGCTGTGCAGCAGTTTTTCGGTATGGATGACTGGAAGCTCCCCCGTGTGCTGACAGAAGCCCCTCTACCATTACAGCTCTGCGCCTGGATCGAGGAGTGTGGAGAGGTGGCGGGATCCAGGAGTGAATGATGACCATGGTGAGGGTCGCACAGAGAGGGGCGGATGCGCGTGATTGACTGGCATCATGGCGAGACAGCGTTTACCTGCGGGGAGGCTGACACCTGTAACAGAGCATGCACACGCACACGCACACACACACACACACACACACACACACACACACACATCAGTGGAAATGTGTGCTTAAGATCAGAGAACAGTGCACTCTTTGTGTTGTTTAAAGACTTGCTCTTATCAAAATGTCACTGAAAATGAGGAGATTTCATTTTAGATTACGTTTTAGAATCTAGTTTTAAAATGTTTGTTTTTTTCATAGTATTTTAAAATAAGCAGTTTTGAATGCAAAATTTATATTACAGACATTGCCTTGGGATCATATTTTATTTAACAAAGACATACTGGAAATTCATGCTTTTGTTTTCGTAAATTTGCATATAATTTTTTGTTTTAAAACCGGTATGAGTATCTTTCTTCTGTTGAACACAAAGATATTTTGAAGAATGCTGGTTGTTGGCACTTATTGACTTAAATTATAGGGGGGTAAATTACTATGGAAGTCAATGGGTGCCAGCCACCAGAATTATTTGACTGAAGAAAGAAACTCAAATAGAAGGTGAACAAGTGAAGGGAGAGTAAATGATGGAAGTGTTTTTATTTTTGGGTGACTTTAAACTGCAAAAAAAAAAAGCACTTAGACATATGTTTCTACGTAAAAACTATTGTACACAATATTTCATCATATGACATCACATAATCTATAATGATATTCACAGTGACATTATCAAAAAAATAGTCCATAAACATGCTTTTTGAAAGTACCCATGAGAAGGTATGTTATGCTGTGCAGAAAAAAAGTAAATAGCCCAATGGTTTAGCACTGATAAGATATAAAAAATTATATTTGAATTTGAGTGGCTGGAGAGGCGTCACGGTGGTGCAGTGGTTAGCACAATCACCAGCAAGGACAGTGGTTCAACCCCGGCTGGGTCAGTTGGCATTTCTGTGTGGTTTTCATGTTCTCCCCGTGTTTGTAAGGGTTTCCTCCGGGTGAAAGCGATGTAGCGCAAAACTGCAAATGCAAAGATGACATGTCGTTTACTTATTATTATTCATAGCAGAGTTTTCTTATCCTATGAGAAGAGTCGGCTTCTCATATATTCATGACTTTCCGAAGGCAAGGCAGACCTGCCATTGCCAAACTGTGAGACACAGCCACAGCACACGGTATTTAGCTGTTCATTAAGGGAAGCATGGACACCGGCCCTCCAGAACCAAGTTTGGACACCTCTGCTCTAGATTACTAGGTTGAAAAACGCTGGGCAAGAGACCTGCTGCACTGAGTCTGCATTCAGACCCGGGGATTGGGAGAAAAGTCCTCATTTATAGTGTTTATATGAACATGATTATCTTTATAATGACATAAATTATGGTTATCTGTATATTAAATTACGAATAACAAATGTAGCAGGGCATTAAATTACTGTTTATATCTTTGCATTTTAACTTTGTAAACTATAAATCATGGGTCTCCTCACAGTTTGTGTCTCATTTTGTGAGCTAACTACCAACAGTTGTTTCTCTTCCCTCCATGTAGGATATGACCCTTTAAAACAAGTCCAACAATTCAGTGCTTATAATGACTAGATCTGGCAATATGGACAAGCAGAGATTGTAGCCTCTAAATCTCCTTTACTCACCTGGGTTATGACAGTTTCTGTGAGTGAGTGACATGAATTTATCCAGCTACATGCTTTTATATAAATTTTTCATTGAAAGAATTTCAAATCTTATTCTTGAGTATAAAAATGTACCTGGTTATCGCATAGCTGGGTATGAGCCTGATGTACAGGGGGTGCTATTGCATCCCTAGTTCCAATAGCCATGATTACAGATTCAACCTTTGTTTACACACGTTACATTTACAACACTTGACAAAAGTAGACAGACACAGACAGAAGTAACAAGGAGGTGTACAAATATAATAATAAAATTTTATATAAATTAGTTCCAAATATTTAACTGAAAAATTATACCCTTTAATTTGAATAAATCTCATTTCATTAGAAAAAATATAGCTGGCCAAGTATAGAAGACATTTAACTATTGTCTTTATGTATTTCCTGACTATTGGGCAAAGTCTGAAATGAAGTAACATCTATACATGTACTATATGTTGATGAGATAAAAGCTGGGGAAATTATGTACTTCATTTGCATGCTCTGTTTCCATCTCTATGTATTATTGCCTATAAAAATGTATTTAACTGAGTGCCTGGCTGCACTAGTTCAGATTTTTTAAATGAACAAAACAGATAGCGAGTTGTTATAAAAGATTCTGCTTTGAAAATACCCAAAATTTTCTCCTGGTTTGTCTCTTCTTTCATTCACAACAAAGGCATCAGTAAACTTTTTAGGGGACTGCCATTTTTTTAAAATGAAGACAACATAAACATTAAAATAGTCTAAAACAACAGATCAAGATGTACAGCACAATAACTTTAAATGGATAACATATTATATTTCTTTTATTCATGAAAATTGTAGAAATGTTATTTATATCCTTGGATATTTTGGAAGGTCAGTAAGTGTGATAAGCATTGTTAGCTTAGCTGAATGCTAATATACGGTAAACTATTAGCTGACGCTTTACTTACCGGTCACAGTCTTTGCCTTTCTGCTTCTCCTTCCTTTTTCTCCCTCTATTTCTGGGTTTCCATCTACAAAAAAAGAAACAATTACTCCATTTAGTCTATATCCTATATTAACAAAAATGCGTAAGTGTAGCACAACTTGTTACCTGTCTTGTTTTGTTGTAGGTTTTCTTAGTCTTGGAATCACAATGTGAAAGAAAAGAAAGCAAAGGGACTATTAAAACACCTCTATTTCCGTTCAGCATGCAGTTTATTCCTCATTTATGTTTAATACTATTATTTATAATGACAACCCAAAGCTGCATCGCAATGCAAAGCACAGTGGTTACATAAACTGAATGGATGTTTTCCCTTACCTACATTCACAGGCTTTGTGCTCCACAAAGGTCATCTCCACATATTCCTGGCCCTGCTCTGCTGGCTTAATCTTTAATAACTGAAAAAGTCATAATATTATTAATATCCACCCCAACTACGTGCTTGACAGACAAACAAAGTTTTTGAATTTAGTGAAAACCCATCCAACACCAGTGATGCAATTTTTAGATATATATTTCCACATTTCCTGTCATTTATATGACAGTGTATTTCTGTTGGTTTACTCGAGCCAATGATGTGCAAAAAGAAAGCCCCGCCCCCTACTCAATATTCTGTTTCAGTTGGAAGTACGGTCCCACTTTATATTAAGTGTCCTTAACTACTATGTACTTACATCAAAAAAATAAATACAATGTACTTACTGTGTTTATAATGTATTTGAGAACACGTGGTGCTTTGAATTGGGATAGAGGTTGGTTTATGGGCAGGTTTGGTGGCATGGGTAGGTTTAAGGGTAGGTTAAGGTGTAAGGGATGATCAACAATGTATTTACAAATGTAATTACAAAAGTTAATTACAGATGTAATTACATACATGCATTTAATCAAGCATAAGTACACAGTAAATACATGTATTTACACCATAAGTACATTGTAACAAACTATTAAGTCCCATGTAAGTACATATTAGTTAAGGCCACTGAATATAAAGTGGGACCGGAAGTACCTCAACATACTAAAATAAAAGTCTCAGCAACTTTCAGTTCACTCGGACATACCAACCTTTATCCAAAAGAAACTTATCACTAACTCTTGCACCTTTTCATCAGAAAACTAATTTAAGGTTTACAGATTTAGATACCGGTATAGACTGTTGTCCGTACTTGCATGGTGGTGTTGGAAGTGAGCGTAGGGTGACACTCCAGATTCTCATCGCCACAGCAACCAGCGCAACGGACCAATGGCACACAGGCGGGGCTGAAAATGTGCTCCACCTCCCCTGGGTACTCCTGAACCACCTCCACCAGCTTCTCTATAGTGCGGCAGAAGCTCTTCCCCCAAACCTCCTGAAACAGCATCACTGCAGCACAAACAGAAAAGGCAGGAGGGAAACATGTATACACTTTACATTTTTATACCTACAAAAGAGTATATGGACATAATAAACACTGCAAAGCAAGTATAAACTGATAATCGATTGTTAGCATGTTAAAATCATACAGTTAATTAGATTAGATAGTTGGCACACACACACAGACAAATACACATTCTGACATAATAAATCATGATATGTTTCATTAGACAAGAATTGGTTAAGCCAACTACAGTTTAAAAACAATAAATGTATTTTTAAAAGTTATAATTGTCTGTATTTAAGATTTATAGGTTTGATGGCATTTTTGTTTCATTCTGTAAACTACTGGTAACATTTGTTCAAAATGTAATTTATTAATTTTCTTTTCGGCTTAGGGCATACTCTTACACTATGTACAGTTGCCTTGAACCGAGCCGAAGCACGATTGTCCCCCCTCCCGTCTCCCCCGACAGCCCGCACTCACATTGCATTCGCAACTAAGCAGACTTACGTCATTGATGATGCGCTGTTCAGTTCAAGCGCTCTCGCTCAGCATAGTGGAGATTTCTTTAGTTATATCATTTTAGACAAGCAAATATTTCGCCAAACAGATCAGCCACTTTTGATACTCATAACCAGTCGTAAAGTCCTCATGCTGCAAGAATCAGGAGGTTTGCTAAAGGTGCAGCTGTCGTGCAGTGAGGGGTTCATTAAACAGTATGATAATAAATCCATATGAAACAGTCCCGTAAAAGTCACGTCTCGTCTTCAGTTTCGGGCTCAGGCTCAAGTGAACCGTGCCCTGGCATACCGATTCCAAACAGGCCAGGGCCGGCCAAGTGAACCATGCCTGAGCCCGATTCAGAGCACTCACACTTATCAAACGATCCGGGAAATGGGCATGGGCACGGTACGGATAGCATAATGTGAGTGCACCCTCAGTTCCTTTATTAATCAGGGGTCACCATAGTCAAATGAACTGTCAACTTGTACAACATCCTGTATGTTTTCTGCAGCGGATGCCCTTCCAGCCATAACCCAACACTGGGAAACACCTATACTCTCTTGCATTCACACACATACTCTACGGCCAATTGGGTTTATTCAGTTCACCTATAGCGCATGCCTTTGGACTTGTGGGGGAAACCGAAGCACCCGGAGGAAACCGACGCCAACAAGAGAAGAACATGCAAACTACACACAGAAATGCCGACTGACCCAGCCGGAGCTCGTACCAGCGTCCTTCTTGCTGTGAGGTGATCGTGCTACTTACTATGCCACAATGAGGCCCATAATGTAATTTATTAAATGTAATTTATTTTTGTTTATATTACACTAGTTTCAGTTTATATTAACCCTGAATAACAATCAGGAAAAAAATGAAACATTTGTTATTTGACCAACTGTCCTTTTCAAAAAGTAGAAAAATTTATATTTTTTAAATATTTGCAATTTGAGGGCAATACTATCAAACTTTTAGAGAATATTAATATTCCACTCAAAATCATGTTTAATAAATCCAGAGAAACCCAGTGAGTTTTCAAGTGGTCTTTTTTTTTTCAAAGCTTTATAAAAGAATAATTTCTTAATACAGAAAACATTTGCTTTACAAAATTGTTGGAAAAGCCATTATGAAAAATATCTGAAGTGTGTGTATGTGTGTGCGTGAGTACATCCTGTTTTTATTATTATTATTTAAGATTTGTTTACTTTTATATTACTGTTGGTGTTGTTGAGTTAGTGTCAATTTCTCTTCTACATTTGAAAAATATAGAGGATATACATAACTAATTGTTCAGTATAATGAACAGTCCTTAATGAACTTTTGTACATCCTGCTGTTAAATATGTTATACAATATGATGTAAAAACATTAAATCTCATCTATTGTATTAAATGTACTTTTTAATACAGTTATAAAAGTAATTGTAGCAAAATGAGACATTTCATGGCATGACCTTATTTTCTTACCTTTATCAGTGCTGTTTACATTGACCAACGAAGAACTCTAAAACAAAGAGAATAAAAATGGGTTATAATCCACTCCAAAAGAGCATAAATGAAGGGAATAAAAAGACACACATTTATTAGTATTATCATTGTTAATAATAATAAGATTGATAACAGAATGTTGATCTTAACTGAGTAACCCCACACTTTAAACTTTTTTCAATAGATATAAAAGTCATTGATATCTGGGGTAAAAAAAAAAAAAAAAAAAAAAAAAATATATATATATATATATATATATATATATATATATATATATATATATATATATATATATATATATACATACACACACACAAAATGTGTAGAAATATTTTTAAAAATAGCATTTTTAAATTATTATTATTATTATTATTAAATATATTACTCATCCTTCTTCCCATAGTTTCTTTATTTATTCGTATTCAGTTCTCGTATTGGGAAACATTGATTTACATGACAGGGCTTTAAACAACAGCACTCACTAGTGGCAAAAAACAATAATACAGGTTTCCTCCTTTGTGTTTTTACAGGACATTTACTCGACCTAACATGTGCCAGAACAAGAATCTGAGACATATCATATTCGTGTGTGTGTGTGTGTTCACTTAACAATACATTCTGTTCAAGTTTAAAATCTGCTTCCTGAAGAATATGATTCAGCTATTTATTTTCCCAGTGGTTCATCTCCCCCTGCGGTTATTTTCAATTGAGCCTATGATAAACAGTATATTTTTTTATTCGATCAGCCAGAAAAATGCAACAATCAGTTTTTAAGTCAGCGCCTAAAGGATAACTACATTTGATACTTGACTGAAAGGCTAAATCTATCGACCTCCACATCTGAAGGTCAAATAATAAGCTGAAACAACACAATTCTTGAGATTTTGGGGGGAACAACTTTATTGTTTTATGTTCAATCCACTTAAATTTGTTAATTTAACTTCATCAATTTTTGTTGGGACAACATGAAGGAATTGTGTGAAACCCTGCATTTTCTACAGAGTATGCACTACACCACAGACATGCCTTGTATATTCTAGATGAATGAAAAAACTAGGGTCACGATCAGGCAATAAAAAAAAGATCTACACATTTCACTTTGTCTCTTTACGAGTCTAGAATTTAAAGGCAAGGCCGTGAAAGTGAAAGGGAAATCCGGCAGGGTCAATGTGGTCACTGCGTTTGCGATTTTCAGTCTGAATGGAGGGAACTGACGGAGTCATTTACTGTAAAAGAAAGTGCTACCATTAACCTCATGCTCTATAAAACACATTCAGGAGTGCAGAACTTTCGATTTCACTCTCTCCCGTTGATTAAAGTGGCTTAAAACAGCTTAATGGGCCATTTCCTATGCAGTTGCTGACTATAAGTGAGATGCATGAGTTTATTTGGATTTTTTAGAAAGCCTGTTTGCAAAAATGTAAACTATAAAGATAACTTTCAGTTTATGAGAGGTGCAGTTATGTCATCTGCAACTTGAAATGGTTTAGATTTTACTCGCTTTAAGTGTATTAATTGCTCATAGTCTGGAAAAACTTCTGGAAAAAAATGATATTGATCCTCTTTGTCATTACTGTTATAAGGTCCATTCACATCAAGGATGATAACTACAGGGTGGGCCATTTATATGAATACACCTTAATAAAATGGGAATGGTTGGTGATACTAGCGTCCTGTTTGTGGCACATTAGTAAATGTGAGGGGGCAAACTTTTGTAAGTTTTGTAAGAAACGAGATGTGCAGCACCTGAAACTAAGGATACTGGAAGCCTGTGCAGGCATTTCTCCTGCGATAATGCTTTCAGTGTGTGAAGAGTGGGTGAAGAGGGTTGCATTGACAATCCAACACAATGAGCAGCACATTGACCACTTTATTTGACCACTTTATTTTATAAGTGTTTAGAAACTTGTAAAAAAAACTTGTGATAAAATAGTTACGTTAAAACCAAGCACACTATTGATTTTCTTGTGAAATTCCCATTAAGTTCGATGTGTCAAATGACCATCTTCCCATTGAAAAAACAAAAGTTGGATCCAAGATGTCCAACTTTAAAATGGCCACCATGGTGACCACCTATCTTGAAAAGTTTGCCCCCTCACATATATTAATGTGCCACAAACAGGACGTTAATATCACAAACCATTCCCATTCTACTAAGGGGTATCCCTATAAATGGCCCACCCTGAATAATGAAATATACAGTTTTAATTTTTAATTAAAAAAAAATTTAATTTCATTTTTTAAAAAAGTTTCTAAATGTACTTTACAAACTATACAGATGTAAATTGTTTCGATCCACCTGTATTGTGCTTTTTGAAGTATCTTATCAGAAAAGAGTCATGTAAGTGCCAAATTAAAAATAAAAATCTTTTAATTCACAATTTTTTTTTTGTTTTGTTTTGTTTTGTTTTGTTTTTTTGTTTTAGGTGGTTTTTGACTTTTCCGAATCGCATAAACTCTGACGTAGTGAAAATTACAGCCACTAATCATCTTTCTCCATTATCTTGCTTTGTTTACTGTTGGTTACTAGGTTACCAATACCACAATCAACCACTCTAAAAACTTTATGGAAACATACACAATTTGGAATATTTGCTTGTTTTGCCAACTTTAAAAATATTTGCTTCATGTTAGGATAGAAACAGTACCACTGACCACTAATTAGAATTCAAATAAGTGATTATTTACCATGTTTGTTGTTATAGTTATAGTCACTGGTGTTTTTATACAACTTGTACTGTATTTTTAAAAGACTGACATGCGCAAGATGCTGCCAAAGTGCAGTAGTCAGACATGTCCATCTTACAAATGTTTAAAGGGATAGATCACTCAAAAACCTACTGATCCTTAAGTGGTTCCATTTTTTTTATTTTATTTTATTTTTGTCTATAACACAAAAGAAGATATTTTAATAAATGTTTCATTTATTCAGGGTGGTCAGGTCTACATTTTCCTTCAGTATGCAGATTAATTTACAATTTACGCTTGTGGCTTTGCATATACATGTCAGTTGTAAGATCATGTTGTTTATTTGTAGATTTTTCCTTCATTCATTCATACATTTTCTACTGCTTGCGGGAGATATATATGGTTTTTTTCTAGGGTTGCGGGAGCAGCAGTCTTAGGAGAGACCCCCAGACTTCCTTCTCGCCAGACACTTCCTCCAGCTCCTCCGGGTGGGATTCCGAGGTGTTCCCAGGCCAGCCGAGAGACATAATCCCTCCACCCTGTCCTGGGTCTTCCCTGAGGCATCCTCCCGGTGGGACATGCCTGGAACACCTACCTCAGCTCCTCCTTTACCACAATGGACCAGTACATCAACCTTATTACTGCTGCCAATACTGTCAATCTCATGTTCTATCCTTCCCTTACTCGTGAACAAAACCCCAAGATACTTGGAACTCCTCCCCCTGGGGTGAAGACTTTCCTTCAACCTGGAAATGACAAACCACCTTGAAACTTGGAGGTGCTGATTCTCATATAACAGAGATGAAATCCTGTGGTCCCCGAACCGAACCCCCTCCAGCCCAAGGCTGGAATTCAAAATTCTGTCCATAAAAATTCTGAACAGAATTGGTGACAAAGAGCAGCCCTGCTGGAGTCCAACATGCAATAAAAAACAAGTCTTACTTATTGCCGGTAATGCGAACCAGACTCCTACTCTGTTCATACAGGGACGACACTTAACAGAGCGCCTCTGACCCCATAGAATGCCACAGGGGACACAATCGAATGCCTTCTCCAAGTCCACAAAACACATGCTAGGGTATACTCCGATAAGGCTGAAAAGTGTGATCCTCCTATAGTTGGAGCACACCTTCCGGTTCCCATTCTTAAAAATGGGAACCACCAACCAAGTTGGCCGGTCCAGAGATACTGTCCCCGAACTCCATGCAATATTGTAGAGACGTGTCAGTCAAGACAGCCCCACAACATTTAGAGACCTAAGATGCACATTGTGAATCTCATCCACCCCTGCTGCTTTGTCACTGCGGAGCTTGCAAACTACCTCAGTGAACTCAGATGGGTGATGGAGTCCACCCTTGCATCCCCAGTCTCTGCTTCCTTAACAAAAGATATGTCAGTGAGGTTTAGGAGATCCTTAAAGTATTCCTTTCACCGTCCAACCACATCCCTAGTCAAGATCAACAGCTCCCCACTGTAAAACAGTGTCGATGTGGAGCTGCTTTCTTCTCCTGAGGCGCCGGACGGTTTGCCAGAGTCTCTTTGGGGCCAACCGATGGTCTTCCTCCATGGTCTGCCGAACTTTTCCCAGGCCTGAGATTTTGCTCCCGCAATCGCTCGGGCTGCAGTACCTACTGTATAAGCTGCCCTAGGAGTCCTGCAAGCAAACCAAGCCCTGTAGCTGTAGTTGTAGTGGTTGTAGATTTTTATTTACTTTTTTATTAAGTAAAGCCTAAGCAGGGACGAGGGCTGCAAATTAGCTATATGCTCTATGTACGCGGCGTTAATTGTCTTTGTATATCAATGTCAAAGGTATTGTCCATGTTAAACAAACAAACAAACAAAAAATATTTAATATAAAAGAAACAAGTCGTGGAAGTGCTAAATTATAAATAACAAATCTTTAATTTACAAAAATTTTGTTTATTTTTAGCTTGAGATGGTTTTGGACTTTTCCCGAAAAAGCTTATTTGCTGAATAAACTCTGACTCTGATTTATACTTCTACGTCGAGTGATTGCTGTGACCTGCGGCACCTGCCTTGCGCATAGTCATGTATTTACGATTCCTCATGCTGTTTGTGTTGCTCTGCAATAACACTTTCAAAACGCTAGCTGGCAGAAGGTTTTTATGTTCCTCTGTGTCGAGTTTCTTCGCGGATGTTTTGTTTTTTCTGATGCTAACTTAAATGTACAAGTAGCTAAAACTTGCTCGGTTAGAGGCAGGAACTGATGGATGTGCAACAACTTTAATCATAAGGTACACAAAACCTTCACGGGACTCACACTTGTAAACTCTCGCTTCATCAGACTCACGGCTCTCAGCACCAAGC